CTAGATTGCAATTTTTTAACATGAAATAAGTAATTATTGAAAATACAATAAAATGAACTGATTTACCACAAGTTAAAATCAATTCTAGGATGCGAGCAATCAGAGCTGACTCAAGGTTTTTTGCTCTCTTTGATGAATTAACAGTTTGATTTCCAGCTCCTGTGTGTTTTTATTACAGGCTGAGAAACATAGCAATAGCAAATTAAATGACTATGACTTGGCCAAGGTACTACTTCCTTATTTTCATACTTAATTTCACTAACTTATTTATCACATGGCTTTGCTTTGCATTTGATTCATATCTCTTAGCATCATTGCAAACGGACTGAAAACTTTTGCAAGTTCAGTTTACTTTTCAAAGATTTGCTTGACAGTAAACCCAAACCTTTAGCCTAAATTAACATAATGGGAGGTTTGAAGACAAAGCATGTGAATTGTATCATCGCACACACACATCACTTTCTCCCACATGATGCTATCTGTCTCTCTGTTTTTACACTCCACGAAGGAAAAGCACTATTTCCTATTCTACACTTCTCTGAGGCCATTTCCAAGCAATAAAAGATACATAAAAATCCCAGTGCTCTAAAACAGCAATAATCAAAGCAAGAGAATTACTTACACTATTGTCCATAAAGGTCTGTCACTCAGAGCCTACAGCAGATGGAAAATGGACATGGGATAATTAGACTAGATAGTGATACGTGCTTGAACAGAAGAAGTGTCACGGTTATAAGGTCTGCTTGAAAAGAAGTGGAATGGTACTCCACTTCACTTTGAGCACATTTGCCAATTCTTTCCTTCAGCCCCTTGCAGCTGGACCTGTCCATTGGAGGTTGTTATGATGAAATCTGGTGTCCCTTTGGAGACCATCCACAATACAGAATTACTGTATCTACTTGAGTATAAGCCTAGTTTTTCAGCCTTTTTTTAGGCTGAAAAAGTCCCCCTTGGCTTATACTCGAGTCAAGGTTATTTATTATTTTACTCTGTCATTATTCTTATTTTTATTACATTTATTATTTTACTCTGCTATTATTATTATTATTATTATTATTATTATTATTATTATTATTACATTTATTATTATACTTGATTATGGTTGTTATTATTACATTTATTATTTTACTCTATTATTACTCTTATTACATTTCCATTATTTTACTCTATTATTATTATTATTATTATTATTATTATTATTATATTTATTGCCCTGACATGACAAATAAATATGGAAGGTTAGAGTAATGGTTTAATCAGAGTTGGGCAGTCTTATCTTAAATTACAGTTTTATGTAACTATTCAAAAACATTTAACCTACTGATGCCTCAATTAATGTAGTTATATTGGTATCTATTTTTATTTTGAAATTTCCCAGTAGCTGCTGCATTTCCCACCCTCGGCAGTCTTTAGGAAGAGTTTGAAGACCTGGCTATTCCGATGTGCCTTTCCAGAATAGGAAAACTCCAGCATTTGTCCCAGAAGCACTTTATTAGAATTTTAAGATTCTCTGCACATTGCACTTGCCCTGAAATCCAACATACCACCTGTCACACCCAGCACTTTTTAATTCTGTACCCATTACTTGGCCCGGCCCTAGTTTTTACTGTGTTACGATGTAATGTTTTGTTGTTATTGCTTTATGTTTTTGATTTTGCTTTGAGTTGTTTTGTTGTGCTGTTGTTGTGTTGAGGCCTTGGCCTTTGTAAGCCGCATCGAGTCCTTCGGGAGATGCTAGCGGGGTACAAATAAAGTTTAATAATAATAATAATAATAATAATAATAATAATACTCAAGTCAATCCAGTTTCGCAGCTTTCTGTGATAAAATTAGGTGCCTCAGCTTATATTTGGGTCAGCTTATACTCAAGAATATATGGTATATGAGTTAATCACTACTAGCTGCTATGGCTCCATCCTATGGAATCCTGGGATTTATAGTTTGTTGTGGCAACAGAGCTGTCTGACAGAGAAGGGAAAATATCTCAGAAAACTACAAATAACAGAATTCCATATGGTGACAAACTACTATAATTCTGAAGTGTCAACAAAGCCTTGGTTGGATGTGATCAAATGCAGTCTTTGTACAAGCTGGACCGTACTAAAATAGGATGGTCAACAGATGACTGTAGACATAAACTTCTAGTATATCAACTCAACTTCCCACATCTGTCTAATTATATGGCAACTAAATTGTTGACTTTTTCTCATTCCTAGAAATCCTGCACATAGCAAAAAACACACCTTTTCCCTGAACTGGTACATCATGTTGTAGCTCTTAACTTTTTGTTTAGCATAGTTCTCTGGATGTGAAAGTGTACATATGTGTAAGTGAATGAAGGACCAATGCCCACTTCAGGGAAATCATGAAAGACAGCTCCAGCTGTGTTTGTGGCTCCTTTACTTGCATGTTGTTGTTGTTTAAAAAAATAATCATTTCTTACCACAAGTCTACAATAACTTGATTTGTTGCCATTGAAACTACTTGACAACATCCCCCACCCTGAAAAACTTTGCTTCATAGATTGACAGTGCATTAAAAAGAGAAGCAAACAATGTGAATGGTGTAATGGTTGTAATTATGTGCGAGTATTGATTGTGGTGTCATGGATACGTGAGCTGGTGGTTCTAAGCAGGGACCAGGTGTCGTGCCTGGATTCCCAAGGCTAGTTTTAATTTTTGTTTGAACACTTCTTTTTGTTCTTACATGGAGGAATCGGTATTTTAATCTTGGTCTTGCCTGCATCTCCTTGCAATTTCTATTTGAACCTAATGTGTTTTGAGAGAGACCGACATCCCAAAAGACTTCTCACAAGATATAAGTAAAATCTTGTAGAAATAAGATAAGGTTGTAAATAGAAGTAGATACATTGCCAGATAGACGGATAGATATTTCTCATTTAAACAGTTCCTTGACAAACCACCCACTCTTGCACCAAGTTGATGAGTGGTGACATTTGTTTCAAGTGTGGAAGATCAAGAACATTTCATTTGTCAGAGGAAATAATCTACACTGAGATGAACAAGCAGTCACCAGTGATGAAGTTAGTTATAATTTAACCAAGGAGCAAAAGTTTGACAGCAGAGCAGCTTGCACTGATTTTGTAACATGCAATGCAGAGGTTGCTATTTGTCTGTAATGACTCACCTTTATTTAGTAGGGCACATTCTAGTTAGCTTGGCTAATCCAGAGACATCAAAATGCTGCCTGAAGGGTTAAATTGGATTGCACATTTCTTTCTGCTCCTGCACAATTTGAGGTCTGAATAGACATAGGGATAGGTAAGCCTCTGATACTGATCTTTTCATTTCCAATCTTGATTTCCCTGGCAGCTGGCCACACTGGTCAACGTGCACATTAAAAAGTAGAGAAGAATGAACGTATTCCATTCCACGTGAAGTATGTCTAAGTTAAGCTTGGTACAGCCTTGAAAGTGTTTTACTGTCATATATACTGAAATGATCCAATTCTCTGACTGCTGGTATTTATTTAGCCAAAACCCATCTTCTTTGGTTAAAAGGGAACAGTCAGCAAACTTGGGAGAAGTGCAAGGTTTGCAAAGATTAAGACAAAATATATGTGGCACATCTCAACAGGGATTCCTCTCCTTCCCAAATATAGGTTGAGTATCTCTTATCCAGAAATTGAGCACATGGGTTGCTGAGATAGTGACGCCTTGGTTTTCTGGTAATTCAAGATATACAAACTTTGTTTCATGTACACAATGATTTAAAATATTGTGCATAAAATTATCTTTAAGCCATGTGTATGACAAATAAATTAATGTTGTGTTTATTCTTGGGTCCAGGATAAGGGACACTCACCCTATATCCCAATAAAGACTGAGCATGCTCAGTGGAGAGGGAATGTTGAGAAGAGAAGAAGCAAAATGACAGTGTCTAAAATCTCATGGATAGAAGCATATTGTTACAACTCACATTGTTGTTTATTAGCTTTTGTTTGCATTTTACCATTTCAGCAGTCCAGTATTTTCTTGGACAGTGGGACCTTGATATCTGGTTTGGTTCCAGGCTTCTGTGGGGATACCAAAATTCATTGATGCTCAAATCCCATTGTATACAATGCTGGCTAAAATGATTCCACTTATATAAAATGGCAAAATCAAGGTTTGCTTTTGGGATATTTTTTGGGGGGAGAGAGGAGCGTGTATTATTGATAGTTATGTTGATATTCTGTTGTGATATTGCCTTATTGTAAACTGTTTTTATATATTGTACACCGCCGTGAGTCGCCCTAGGGCTGAGAACGGCGGTCAACAAATGCAGTAAATAAATAAATAAATAAATATTTTCAAGCAACTGATGGTTCAATTTGTGGATACAGAATTTGTGGATTTAGACAACTGTGCAAGTACACATATTATGCTTAGAGTGGGGAGGTAACAGGTAAGAGCTGGTATGTGAAGGAGATGGGTGCTATATTTCTAGACCTTACAAAATCAAAAAGGAGGAAAACCTTTCAAAACATGGTTGTGCTATCTGTCAATGCTGCAGTGTCCAAATAATAAAAAGAAATCACATTTTATTATTGTGTCTGTAAATCTCTTAATATTAAACTAAGCTTTCTGATTTGGAACGAGAAGAAAATGCCTCTGACTCATGATTTCCAAGCATTCAGGTTTGGCAGGCATGAATAAAAGAAAATTGATGCACAAAATATCCAATGCAATGTTTTTACTATAGGCTGTTTTCTGCCTCTGACAAGAATAGATTACAAAGATGTGTAGAATAGCAGTGTCAGTCTTTTTGAAATTTGTAATGTATTTTATGTGTAATTTAATAAAACTAATGGTATTCCTGTGCTGTTTATAACAGGAAATGAGACCACACAGACATGGTTTCTTATTTGTTATTATCCCCTCCCTCTCTCCAATAACTTTGATATGGATCCTGGTGAGGTGCATAGGGTAAATGTATTGATTTGGTTGTCATGTTTGACACTTTATGCACTGATTAATTTACATTTTTTGTGTCTTGCAGGCAGAGAATTCTGCACTGGCGATGGAAAATGAAAACCAGAGAGAACAGTATGAAAGGTGCCTTGATGAGGTAAGGTGGACACACCTGTTTTTGTCCCAGAACAGGGGTATCGCAGAGGGAGGGTGGCTACCAAGAAGATAAAATCACTTCTGAATCTTCCCATTTCCGCCTCTAGGAAAACCCACACTTTTAAAAAGAGCAGCCATTACAGCCTACTTTTAAGTGCTGGTACCATCCCCTAAATACATTAAAGGCACCAGATCTTGTTTGATCTTGGAAGCTAAGCAAGGTCAATTTGTGAGAGAGATGTGTGCTACATTTCTAGATTTTACGGTATCATAAAGTGGGGAGAACTCTTAACTTTGGACAGTACTTGGATGGGAGGACAGCAAAGGAAAGCTAGAGGCTATATTTCAGAGGAAGCAACTGAGAAACCCATCTTTAAGTACTCCTTGAAATTCAGGGGGTCATTATATGTCAATAGCCAACTTGAAGGGATATGCACACAATTCACACACATCCATTAATTCTCTCTCTCTCACACACACACACACACACTGTGCTGTGGAAGGAGTGGGGGAATAGCAGCAGCAATAGTTCCTAATGTTGTTGCCTTTAAATCATTTCTGACTTACGACAATCCTAAACTGAATCTGTTGAAAGGTAAGATTTGTTCACAGAGGTTTGCCATTGACTTCCTCTGAAGCTGCGAGTGTGTGACTTGCCCAAAATCACTGATGGGTTTCCTTGGCCAGTGGGGGTTGGATCCATGGTCTCCCAGAGTCCTAGCAAAATAATCAAACTGCTACAATGGTTCTTCTAGTAGTTCTAATGGCTGAAAAAATAGGGAAAGCCTTTCTGTCTTAGTATGCAGGGGCTGCTAGAAGTGCTCATTCTCTCCTTGGAAAATATCCATAGTCTGTCTTCTTTCTTGGAACAGACTGGGGACAGTAAAATGGCGAAATGCAAGTGCCTAGGTAACGTTTATGTTGAGGGTATCATCCCAAGGCGATTAAAAATGTGGTACAGAAATTAATTCATGCGTTTTCCATTGTATTGCACTTTGCAATGTAGTTTATTTCAGAAGTAGGAAGGGAAATGAAAGGATGATATGGAATATGGTCTTTTATCTCAAACATGAGGGAATATCAGTTGCACAGTTTGAACATTATTTTGTAGACTCATTGTTTGTCTTCAGTAGAATTTGGGTAGTTTCACTACCAGATAAATGAAAGATGATTCAACACTAATCCACAAAGCTTTTCCCAAATAGTCCACATATGTGAATTCCAGTTTACAAATTACTATAATGGATTATAATGTCTACTATGAATCAGAAGAGACCCTGAAAAAAAAGTTAAAAATAAGAAATCCTAGATATCCTTGAAAGAAAGAAAGCCCCACTATTTGTTAGGCCTATTGTGGTCTTGCAAGCAAGTGGGAAGCAAGTTACTTTAAAAAATAGTGAAGCTGCAGAACCATTTAGAAGATTGTTGTTTTTCATTACATGGACTTCTGGATTTCCTGAGGGGGAAAGGCTTAGCTTTAGCTGCAGAGAGGCAGTTATCTAATGTCCTGGAACTGCATTTTATGTGGTTGGAGTCAGGATGTAAATCTTCCAACTATATGGTCCTCATATGTGAGGAAAATTATTTGTGTAGTTTTCTCCCTGATGTGAGTGAAAATGAATATTTCTTCACTGTTTTTACTCAATATTTGCCCATACCAACATTTCAATAGATTATTCTGCACAGAAATAAATGTTGGAATGTATATGGAAATTGTGGGTTTGGTATAAAAACATATTAGTGTTCGTATTATTAATGTCACACATACCCCACCCTGTATCAAAGATCTCATAATGGCTTACAAAAATCATTAAAACATGTTACAAAGTTCAAAAAAACAGAATAACCAAGCTAAAATGTTTTAAATAACAATAATGAAATATACACAGATTTAAAAGCTTCAAAAGCTGTGTACACATGTGTTTGCTTTTAATGAATGAGTCCCAAAGACTCTGATGAACAACCAAAATTCAAGTTGGTGCCTAAATGACACAAGCGTAAGGGACCAATCATGTCTTGGGGGGGGGGGGCTTCCACAGCTGGGGTGCAATGACTGAGAAGGCCGTCTCCCATTTCCTAACACAGTGTATTGACCGCACTGGTGGAGCATGGAGGAGATCCACCCCCAGCAGACCTTAATCCATGAGCAATCAAAGATAAGGAGAGGTGATCCCCCTCATATATTGAGGTCCCAAGCCCACAAGGTTTTTAAACACAATCACAAGCAAATTCAATTCAAAGTAGGAATGTATTGGCAACCATTATTGCACACTGCCTATATGGTATTCTAGTCAGTAGTCAAGTAGATATTATTTTGCACTAGCTGCAGCTTTCACATATTCTTCAAGGGGAGCCCCCACATATAGCACATTGCAGTAATGTAATTGGGAGATTATTAGTCATGGGCTATTGTTGTTAGGTTATATTGGTCTAGGAAAGATCATAGTTGACACACTGGTCAACGCTGGCACAAATAATGCCTCAAGTTCCTCCAAGAATGCCCAGCCAACCCATGCTAAAGTGCCTTGCTGTTGCACCTCAGAGTAGAGAAGAAGGGGATATTTGCGATTCAGGTGGCTGTTGTCATATACCTTTAGGTATTCTTCAGAAAAGGGCATGCCACTGCCTCCTTGGTTGGGAAATGGAGGAATCAGGGAGAGTAAGAGGAAAAATAGGAGGAGATCCTTTCCCTTCTTGCTTTCATTATAATTCCTTTATTGGTTATTTCATGCAGATATTCAAACTGCACAAATCCCACACCACTCATTAAAAAATCAAGCACACTATTTAGCCCATGGTTTTCAACTTGCACATTTGCATGGATCTCACTGAGGTGGTTTACCCACAAACCTTTTACAGCACAGCAACTGAAAACTGCTGCATTGTACAGACACAAAATATAGTCTAATAGGAAGAACTAAATTGCTGTTGCTGTTATTATTCTGCAAGAAAAGAACTATTGTTCTTTAGTCCATATGTTTTGTGCTTGTTTTGAACCTTGCCTTAATGTTAACATGAAAATAAACATTGTATGAACTATTTTTAAAAATTCATTCACTGCAAAAAGGAAGTAATAGTAGTAGAAGAAGCGAACAGAAGATATCAAAATGCTAGACTAGTAGCTTTAATTTTCAAATTCTGATTGTAATTCAGACAATTGTTTTGAAAATACCTATTTATCACTGCTATTTCCTTTAACACTGATATAACTGTGATTTGTTTTATACTTGAAAATACTTAGTGCTTCAACAGTCTAGCTTTGCATTATACAGGAATAAATTTCATTTATTTTTTAAAAAAATTAAAAGCCAACACAACCTCGCTAAAACATCCTAAACCCTTCTCCTTGTCTCTAAGAAACCTAATACAAGAAACAGGATTACCTTTCTCCTGCCTCAGGGACCTGGGGTTTAAATGCTTAATCCTGGTTTCCTATCCTGGAATTTGACTGTCAGTTTATTGTGAAGAAGTGGTATAATATTTATTCATGTTATTAGCGGCAGCAGAGATTGCTGTCAAGCTCAGATCCCGTCTTTTCAGCCCAATGTGATATGTCACAGTACAACATATTGAAATTACCATGCCAATTTAGCCACAAGAAATGTTGGAGCCTCCAGTCTTCAGCTTGTGTTCAGAACCAATGCAAAGAGATTCTAATTTCCTGCCATTTTAAAACATTCTTTAACCAAACAATGTGACCAAGATATTGATAATATATTATGGATTGTTTTAGCTCTAGGGTATCTTGATATTTGCATGATTTAACCCAGAAATTTTGTTAAAATAAATAATATAACCTCTGCTGGAAAGCTAGTGGATATAATTTGAATTTCATCTTATTGGAAATGAGGACTCTGTTTTGTTGCCTAATCAGAGCTTGAAATGATGGGCTTGAAAATTAATTCGATAGTGTTAAACATTTGAAATTGAGAAATGAATTCATTACACCAACACTAATAATTTAAATCATTTGATTAGTTAAAGTATTGCTAATTAGCTCATTATTTAAACCATTAGTTTGGGGACAGAAACCCACTGGGTGGCCTTGAGTGAATCACATGCTTTCTGTCTTAAGAGGACGGCATTAACAAGTCTCCTTTGAATAAATGGTTCTAAGAAAACCATAGCAAAGAGTTGATTTCAAAACACATGACAACGACAATAAGATTTACAGAGAATGACAGGGAGGTTATTGCTTTTGACCCAATTTTGTTATTGTACTCTATTTGTCCATTTAAAGTTGCCTCTTCCCACTTGGATTCCCCTACCCCTTCAGATGAAGTACACAGCCCATAATACAGAATTTCTTGCTTCGGGGTGATGGGAGTTCATCCAGCAACTGTCATGTTGAAAAGACTGCCCTAAAAGATAGGATCATTTGTTTGTTAAAGGTTGATAGAGAATAATGTAAAAAGTTTGCAAGGAATTGTATGCTTATTTCAGATAGTTTGCTCACTTAACGTATGAGCATGTTGTTGTTAAAGAAAGACTTGCAGAATATAATGGCATGGATTTATCTTTTGACAGCAACTGCAGTCTTACTAAATCCCCTCAAGTGAATGGTGTGAATGAAAAGCAGAATGAAAAGGGAGAAATAGAAAAATCCTAAGGGAAAGGGAAATTATTCCAGGGCAAAGGTGGGGAGAGGGGGGAATCACTTAATTATCTAAGCCAGAGCTTTCCAAACATGTTGTAACACATTAGTTGTAACACCTGTGGTGTGTAGGTGTGCCATGCAAATGTCATGAGAAATTCTGAGTCTATGTGAAATAAGCAATAAATAATGTATTTTTAAGAGTATAGTTGAAAGGTTTCCATGAGATATGTTACAATTTAAGTTCATATCTCTTGTAATCGATGGTTTAACCTCCAGTTTGTTAGTAAATTTTAATTACTGTGCCACAAAATGATGCATGTCTAGAAAGTGTGTAACGAACATGAAATGTTTGTAAGGCTCTGATTTAACCCTTCAGTGCTGTTGCTGAGTAGATATGGGAATCACTTGGACTTGGTTAAATTATTGTTTTGATTCCATGTTAATTATTCCCAACTTCACTAAAACCTTCATTCTATGTAGCCCCTGTCAAGCAATTGATAGAAAAGACAAGGAAGGATTCAACAGAGAGAACAAAACAGAAGGAAAAGAGGGAGTTGAGTTAGGGAGAAATGTTGTTTTATTACCCATGTGCCCAGCAGTTTGCAAGGAGCAATAAATGTACTAAGGGATTATCAAGAGGTTTATTGCAGTTTACATTAAAAATGTAAAACAGAAACCTAAATACAATCAAAAGAGGAAAAAGAACTGAAGAGATTCATAATGCATCCCTCTCCAAACAACAAACAGACCAATAGGCCTCGCGGAATGCACCAACTATGCAGTCTAAAAGGCCTAATATTCTGCAAGGGACAAGGATGTTTCAAGGCTGAGCAAACTAATCATCCGCTACCCAATTCCTTTCATGCCATTCCAGGATTCATTTTTTCTGTTCCATTGCTCTTTAATTGTTCTCCAACCCCCCCCCCCCCCCACCATTACTTCCACAAGAAGCACTCTTTCCCATTGTAATCCTTCTCTATCTTAGGTCTTCTTATCTGGCTGAATTTGCCAGAGGAGAAGCTACCCACTCTAACAAATTTAAAGGTAAAATTAATTAACTTAATAAAGCATGGCATCCAATTCGGTGTTAATCGGGAAATTTAGACCATCAAGCCTCACCAGCATACAAATCTAATTTGTTAACAATTTAACTAGTCAATTCACTAGCTATTTCCACTCTCTGGGCATAATTGTTTAGAGCTGAGTCATTTGATGTGTTCAGAAAAGCAAGGACATATTTTGCTAGTCACAAATTTAATAATTGCTGAGGATTTACATTACCAAATGCAATAGAGTAATATGTTGAGATGATGAAAATAACTTTGATAACCCATTTCAACCCATCTGTATCCAATCTATACTGAATTGGCATATTTAGAAAAATACAACTATGATTTTGGCTGAAAAAATAAATTAACACAATGATGTAAACTGTATGTGCATGTTGGTCCCATTGCCTAATTTTATTAAATAGTCAAATTGTATATAAAAGAATTAAAGTTGGGTTGCAGTTCGGAAACTTTGGGGCTACTTGCAATACATGCATGCTTGTAATACAGGCATGCTCAAGTTGAGGACCTCATCACAAAGTCCCATGGATTCACCACACATTGTGGCAAATTCATGGAGACCCGGTGAGGGATGTGGAGAACCCATTGTTCCACGCCCCACATCGCCCGCCTTACCTTGACTCCTATCCCACAGGGGGAATTGTCACTACCCGGCTTCCCCCCATTGCTCCTAAGGCAACACGGGAAGCCTCCTGTGTTGCCGCGGTGGCATACATCACTTGCTCTCCTCTTATGGCACAGAGCCCAACTGGCAGTTCCTGTGTGTCTTATAATGGGCATTGTGTCAAAAGTGGAGAGCAACCAGGGTACAACAGGCAAATTAGCCTGTCTGATGAGGTACTATGTTTTGGAATTGCTGCTTCTGCTACAATTTATTATCCAAAGTACCTTCTTATTTATGCTTCTGTCCTCATCTAGGAAACAGAAATTCTCCTATATTTCCATTGTTCTTTCACATTTTCTTTCCTCTCGCTCTTTTTTTATATGGGTTGGTCCAATATTTTTTTTGAAAAACAAACAGCTGTTCATCTAAGTCAAAGTGTAGAATTTTTCTAACTTCCTCACTGAGAACTTCATCTGTATATATTGTGTGACTTCTTGTGCTTTGGAGTTTAAGCGAATGATTGGTCAGACCAATGAAAAGTTAACCAATGGCCTAGTTAAGAGGCTGGAGACAAAAACCATCTGCAAAGCCTTGGTTTCAAGAAGAAACAGTTTCAAGGAAGCACAAATGATAGGAAAAATACCAAAAGACTGAACTAGTTTATTCCCCTTATATCACTTTATCTTACTCATGTTTTGACCAAAATTGTAATTTCCTTTTGGGCCACAATCTTTGCTAGTTATAAAATCCACTTTTTAAATGGTGTGATCATTGTCATATGTATATCCTTTATTATTATTGCTTAGAATGGAAGGGTTGTTTGTTTTGCATTCATTGCCAGTTAATTCATTCTTCTAAAAACCAATACACAACCAAGAATTAAATTATTCTTTGTTTTCTGCCTTTTCCATTTTTCATGTTGCAGTTCTTTGTCCAAATAATGTGTGCAGCAATGTGTACAATGTGATAATGGTGTGCATCAGGGAAAATTACATAGGAAAATAATTATACAGGAAAAGGTATGTAAGTAGCATACATTAAGTATCTAGAATAGAATAGCAAAAAAAGTAGAAAGGATATCATCCTATTTTATTAGACTGCTGAAAAGCAAGGTGTGGCATCTGACTGTAATGGGAAAATTGACTTGCTAAATTAGAAGCCATAACTGCACAGGGACAGGTAACAAATTTTGTAGTGTACATCAATGAACAAATGGATGGACCAGATCCCCAGAAAAATAAATGATAATTTATGATATGGCAAATTTTATCTATTATTCCTATTCTGCTGTTTTAATTTACTGTGTTTATTTGTTGGATCTCTGTTAGGTTTTGTCCACATATTTTCACTTTATCCAGTGAATTATTTCTGTATTGATTACTCAATAAATCATTATACTTATATTTAAAATGCATATTTTGAAATATATATATATATAAATGGGCCCCAAGCTGTTCAAGGCATTAAGGGTCAAAAGCAACACCATGAATTGAACCTGGAAGCAAATTGGACATCAGTGCAGTTCTTGTAAGATCACTACTTTTCATGACAGTGGAACTGAGTGCTCCTTTGATTCTGACAGTGTCATTGCGAGGATCTCCCATTTCAGACAGGCGTTTGCTTAGGAACCAGACTAAACATGCGAGTGGAAAGCAGCAGTAATGAGGAATAACATTGGTGGAGGATCTCTCACTAACAAAAACAGTGGCGCCATAATTGTTTCTTGTTTGTACTTCTTAGAGGACAGCAATGGTAAACCACTGAAACCTTCCTTGAAACCTCTATGATGAAACAATATATGGTCTCCCAAATTCACATATGACCCTAGTCTGGCTGCTGCATTTTACACTTGCTGCAGCTTCCAAACACTTTTTAAGGGCAGCCTCACATAGATTATGTTACATTAACCTAATCTAATAATAGCAATGTGTGCAAACAATTTTCATCTGCCCCATGTGTTAATGTGATTATAAAAATAAAGGTGGGGGCATAGGCTGAATCTAGGTTTGTCAAAGTGAATTTTCTCCCCAAATCCTCACAGTTCATTGCTAAATGAAGTCATAGAAACATCTCAACTTGAATATTTATCATTATTAAGAAGAGATGCAGAACTGATATTTATTTAAAGAAAAAAAGACACGTTTCACATATGATAATGAGAGTCAGGAGACCACTGGGTGGTATACTGAAAATGGTATAATATAGAGAGATACTGCTTATCTATTCTATTCAACAACAACAACAACACTTTTTTATGGTCCATGGCCAGCACAAAGATTCTATTCTAAATACCCATGTTGGTAGGTCTACCCACTGTTTGTTAGTATTGTCTTGATGTATTGGTTGAATCATTTATCCTTTATACTGGCTCATGGGTTTTGTTTTTAGACAAAAGTTCTATAAATATGCATCCTTAATTTCAAACACGAGATATTTAAAAGATGGGATATTTAAAATGTATGCCACTGTGCAGCTTTTGCAGCTGGAGTTGGCTGTCTGAGTCGAATTGCAACAGAATTGTATACATGTGATGGGTTCAGCCCATTAAGTGCCCAGTGGAAGTGGTTGTACGGACAAAACCATTTAACTAGTTTGTGGTACATCTATACTGTAGAATTATTGCAGTTTAACACTACTTTATTGGCTATGGCTCAGTACTATGGAATAATGGAAGTTGACCATCACTCTAGTGCAGGGAAGGCTAAAGATATTGCAAAACTACAACCATTATTTCATAGCATTGAGCTACGACAGTTAAAGTGGTGTCAAGCAGCTTCAATTCTATAGTACCTTTGGACACTTTTTTTAGAGGTTTGGTGGCATTGTATTTATTTTTTAAAAGTAATTTCATGTCACTAAGTAAAGTAATGAGCTCTTAGAGGGTTTGTTCCATTTACTGTTAGAGAGACAGTGTTAAGACTGAAAGTACAAGACAGAAGCAACATCATTATATGTAAGTTCTAAAAGCCTATAGGGCAATGCAGGTGGATTTGAGATATATAGGACATTTGGGTTATTATCACTTTGTGTCTTCTGTTAAATCACATACTGAGCTATTTTATGTCTTTTCCTTCCTTTGTTGCTTTAGGGTAGAGAATGGTTTTGGAAAGAAAAGACAGTATTGGGTGATTTTATTAGAGTATGAATCAAATTCTTAGATCATACAAGAATAAAATGATTTATCAAAAGGAATTACTTTGATTTTTGCTTATTTTAGTTCATTGAATGGATTTTTTTCAAACTGAAATTATTGAAAAAATGAATTTTATTTCTGAATAGCAAATAATATATATATACATGAATCGGCATGAATACATATCAACTATAAAGTAGCATTTTGCTTTCATAAAATAATGCTCTTAGTTTATTTTAATAGGTATGCGTATAGAAAAAGCTATTACATAATAAAAATATATGAAAACATTCAAAATGTCTTTGTATAGTTTTAAAAATGTGTTTCTGCATTTAATTAATAATTTCTATACAGATTAAAATCAGTACATAAGAAAGAATGTCTGATTCACTAAGGAAATTAATATGATATACAGCTCAAATGTACTTTATTTCTTATATAGGTGGCCAACCAGGTTGTGCAAGCACTGCTTACTCAGAAGGTGAGTAATTTATCACATTTGCTTTTTATTTTAAAGGTCAGAAACTAGAGATATCAAATGTCTTTACAAAAAATTGCAAAAGTAGCAAGTTCACTAGCTAGTCCTCATATTTCCCTGCCCCCCCCCACCCAAATTCTTTCTTTTTGTTGATTTCACTCATTCAGACTTTTCTGTTGTTTGTTTCTCTCTCCTTATGAGTCAGAAGGAGGTTCTTTCTGTCTTTTTCTCAGTGTTTGAAAACTTGGAAGGCTGTAGAAGCCCTGTTGAAAAGTGATTTTCCAGGCCATTCTAGAAGTTGTTTCTCCTAACTAGGGTGATAATCAAATATATTTAATTTCTAAAATTCATCAAGATTACAAATAAAAGAACTTTGAGATGCATGGTCCCAGGATCTTCTTAATATAGTCTCTAACTTTTCATATATCTTGGTTTCTTGAGGTTAGAGGTGGTTTGAATACAGACATAAACACACATTCTTGTTGTTGGAAATAAATTTCATGTGTAATATAAAAACTCACCACAGATGATGATGATGATGATGATGATGATGATGATGATAAGGATTATGGTTTTGAGGAAATCTTATGGAGATTTTCTTAACTAAAGAACAGAGAACATTTATTGGCTGAGATTGTCATCACAGAGATGTGCTATAAAAGATCTTCAAGTAGACCAGGAGTCTTCAAACTAAGGCCTGTGGGCTGGATGCATCCCTCCAAGTCATTTACCTAGCCCCACCCTAAACTTTAGGCTTAATGTTGCCTTAAATTTTAAACAACTTGAAGGTACACAACAATAGCACTCCTACACTCCCCCCCCCTTTTTTTTTGGTCGTGTCAGGAGCAACCGCTCCTGTTGTGAGAGAATGGGCCGTCTGCAAGGACGTTGCCCAGGGAACGCCTGGATGATTTTTGATGTTTTATCATCCTTGTGGGAGGCTTCTCTCATGTCCCCGCATAAGGAGCTGGAGCTAATAGAGGGAGCTCATCTGCCTCTCCCCGGATTTGAACCTGCGACCTGTCAGTCTTCAGTCCTGCCGGCACAGTGCTTTAACCCACTGCGCCACCGGGGGCTCCACACTTCCCATTGAAATATTGGTACATTAATGTTGGTTAAAATTGTTTTTCATTTTAAATATTGCATTGTTCTTTCATATATATTTTTTGCACTACAAATAAGATATGTGCAGTGTGCATGGTAATTTATTCAATTTTTTAACTTTAATTGGTATAGTCTGAAATATACCTATGCTACATTTCTCCTTTCCCCCACCCCACCCACAACCCATATTTGAGCTGTAGCCATAGCCATTTAGTGACTAACCATTAGGGAGAATCACTTGGTTCCAAGGTTGTCCTGCTTCACTGATGAATCCTATTATGCAAGCCATAGAATGGGAGGCTCTTCCAATTGAAAGGTAGGCTTGGGAATTTTTTTATCATTGCATGACGTGACTTGAGAATTCTAATGTTTGCAATATCCAAAAAATAAATAAACCAACAAAAACATTTCTTTAAAACACCCTTTTCACCAAAGGGCAGAATATCAATAAATATAGGTTGAGTATCCCTTATCTATATTATTGTGATGTGTTTTCCTCCTCCTCCTCCTCCTCCTCTTGGAATATATGCATGTACACAAAGAGATTTCTTGGAGATGGGACTCAAATCTAAATATGGAACTCATTTATAATTCATATACACTTTATACACATGCCCTGGGGGTAATGGCATACACACTATTTTTTAAAATATTTTTGTACAGGAAAAAGGTTTGTTTGCATCGAACCATCAGAAAACAAAGGTGTTACTGTCTCAGCGAGTTTTCAATTCTGAAAAAATTTGGATTTCTGGATAAGAGATACTCAACCTGTACAACTAAAGCGAAGGAAAATAAAATAATATAAATATATGTGATATGAAATCCCCAGCACCCCACCAGGTACTAAGCACTACTAAACCCCTGGGACAACTGAGAAGCTTTATCCAGCAAACCAAAGAGGAAAATCTTCAGTCTCTTATGAAAATGGGTGAGAGTCTACTCCATCTAGTTGTCCAAAGGAAGACTATCCCATGAGTCAGGTCTTTAAAGGCTTACAGCCTTGACAGAGTTGTGTAAGTCAGTGGGACAGACCACCATCCTTTGTCTTCAGAACCTAGATTCCTAGATTGTCCATACCATGCTAACTGAACTTCTAGATACTGTGGGTAATTAGATTTCGTAGACTTAAATACCAGAATCAAAAATTTGAAATGGGCCCTGACCCACTAGGAAAAATCAAGTAGACCTGGATAATACTTCCAGGATAAATGTAGAATATTAATTGAACAAATAAATAAGTACTGTTGTCTCTTCATGTTTAAGTTGTCTGACCCTTATTTTATTTTGAAATTATCTGTCAATAATGGCCACTTCACACTACTCCAGTTGGGAATTCAGCACTTTTATGACTAGTTTAAGATTTCCCATGAACTGAGAAATCTGGGCAACAGATTGTACGTTCATAAAGAAAAGCTCTAGTGGTCTAAAAGTAAAGGTTTTTTTTTTAATGTGCCAGTGGGAGTTTTCTGCCCAAAGCTAATACCAGCTTCTGAAAGGGGATTTTCTTCAGGACTGAAGCAGGGGGAAAAGGGCTTAAATTAATTATTCCTACGTACGTTCTCTAATCACATTAATTATAACCAACCCTAGTCAATACACTTTGCAGTTTTAAGAAGCCTCCATGTGAGATGTAAAGACACATGCAGGTGTGGCTTTTAGCACCATTGTTGGTACTGGCATAGCTTCATACAAACTCATGTATACTTTATTCAGTTCTTTATCACATCTGTAATCAAAGCATAATCCTTTTTTAGTTCTGAAATTGATTATTTTGAAAAAACACCCACTGGAAATTTGAATTGAAATCTTTCCTAATGAAAGTTAACCCCTGGACTCTCGTGTGATGATTTCAGTCATTCTAGAAAACCATTGCGTGCATAGTAGAAGTAGGTGGTCTATAATAAATTCAGGTATTACCAAACCTCCCAGGAATACTTTGGCTGGTATCTTGTTTTGTAGTTATGAGATAATGCATTGCACATAAGATGACAAACTGTATTTCATTGCGTAAAGGTCCCCACTGCATAACAGTCACACCCTCTTTTTTGGGCACCCAAATTGGTATTTTTCCTTTCTTCACATAATCATTGCAGCCTTGATTCATGGCCCCAATGTACTGCCATCAGATGATTGGCATATAGTGTAGCTAGCAGAGGAAGACAGGTTCACCATTGTACTAGCTCACAAAAGACTCCAGGCGTCTTCACCTGATTTTCTGCACTGTACAAACAAAGCTTTGCCCACAAGCTTGCTCCCCTTTCACCTGTGATGCTTCATTTCCCTGTGTGCCCACTTCCCTTTCAGCTATGGAATTTTACTCAGTTGAGTCTGAAAGCACTGGGTTGAAGAGAGTGGGTATTGTCACTCCTCGGCTCAGGGCTTTCAGATTCAGATGAGTGAAGTGCCATAGCTGAAAAGGGAGCGAGCATATGGGAGGATGAAGTGGGTGTGCTGGTAAAGCTGTTGTTTGTACAGTGCATCAAGTAATGTGAAAAGGGAAGCCTGGAGTATTCCCTGCACTACCTAAACAGTTTACTTAACTTGCGTTTGTATTTTAATTTCCTATACCCTCCCGAAGGTGGAATCCAATGCATTAGCATTAGTTTATCAAGTAATTTGATCACTAAGGGTAAAGGTGTCTCCTGACATTAAGTCTAGTCATGCCCGACTCTGGGAGGTGGTGCTCATCTTCATTTCTAAGCTGAAGAGCCAGTGTCGTCCATAAACAGCTCCTAGGTCTTGTGGCCAGCCTGACTGCATGGAGTGCTGTTACCTTCCCAAACTTGCATGTTTTCTAACTTCTAGGTTGGTAGAAGCTTGGCCTAACAGCAAGAGCTCACCCCACTCCCCGGATTCGAAGCACCAACCTTTCAGTCAGCAAGTTCAGCAACTCAGAAGTTTAACCCGATGCACCACCAGGGGCCCCCACTTTCATCATTATATATCCAAAAATTAAAATGAAGCAGCTATACTTATTTAAAAAAGAAGCAAAACACATTGTTTCCACACAGTTTTTCTTTACATTTTTTTTGCAAATTCTTGAACTGTAAGAAAGGTACAAAACCTCTCATGATCTCATTAAGTGGCAAGAAAATATTTTGAATTAATTGGTTTGTATATGAGAATTACAATTTTCAAAAACCACATTACTAAAAGTATGTGGTATAGGTGTCATTTATCCTATCATGTTTCTGTCTGTACATGCATGGAGATATCAGAAGAAAGTGGAATTGGGGACCGGGAGGAGATATGCATGCATATATTTTTGATAATGTTTTCCCAGCAACCTTTCTATCCCATAATAAGTTCAGCCTAACTTAGATGAGAATGTCAGGCAAGCTACAGGAGGAAACCTCTGCTGTTTTATGTATAATGTAGCCATATAAATTGATTTTTGTTGTTGGATTTTTCATTCAACTACCTTCCATAAATTGCCAGGATAGAATTTAAAGAAATTTACCACCCCATGAACAAATCAACATTCTATTCAACTTCTGTTGTCATGCAGCTAAATAGTTCATGAAATTGAGGGTCTATGTAAGTCAGATAAACTTTTACTAAACTAAAAGTTCATATGCGATGGGATATTAGCCACCCTCAGTATATTATAACAAGTTTTGAAAATGTCTTTTTTTCCTTTTCAAAACTAACAAAATGTGTGTATGTAGATGGATTTTGGGGGGGGGGGGGGGTAAAGAAAGTTTTTATGAGTTATTTATAATTCCACCAGTACTCAATTTTGGCTCATGACAACCTCTGTTGTCAATTCTAGAAGACACAAAACTCACAGGTGCTGTGAAGTCCTTATGAATGTACTAAGAAGATAGATTAAAATGTATTTAATAATGTAATTTGCTTAGTATTGATGAAATTTAACAGATGCTTGGCTACTTCTGAAT